TCAAGATTTTCGAACACCTTAAATATAGAAACCAATTATTTGAAGCATGTTTTTCATGGTATCCGCACTCTGAGATCTTGGTGCAAGAGATAGTGTCATGTTCCCTTTTAGCATCAGATATGAATTAGTTGCCAAGCGTATTGCTCAATTCTTGTAATCATCAAAATTTCAGACGTTGCTGAAGCGGAGACCATATCATCGGCAAGCTGGTGGGCAGTCATCCATTGACCATGACAGCAATAGTGGCGGTGAGTATGGTGAGTGGAAGCTCATCAAACGTACACTCTGTGCTGATTGAATGCGTTCAGCAACTAAGTAGTCGAGAAATAAATAATTTCGGTTGTGTATCCCATGTCACTCGGATACGCTTTCCTTTCAGCTGCTTCGAAACTTTGCGTGCCCTTTGTATAGCGAAACTTTTGCATTTCTCATTACTAGATCCTGCCATTGAAGATGAAAAAAAGCAAGTGAACAAGTGCTCATCGTTTTGCTGCGACAGTAGTTTATAACGTTATTAGTTGGGGACCCAAGACATTTTTTTGTTCTCGTGCATTTGGAAGAAGCTAATCCTGCTTTTTTCCAGGCTCTACGCGAACATCTCCTGGTATTCGAGATCATCGCATGTTGCAATCGAGCAGTCGGAGCCAATCTCACTATGAACCGCTTTTGGTAAATATTACTAATTAAATTCCGTTCGGCCAATGCTCTTATCTGCTTCACTAAGACTGCCAAAGCCGCATTTGGTGGAAGTTTGACGTCAGGTCTTCCTATTAACCGAAACATCAAACAGGAATCACTGCCGACGTGTTCATTCTGCCTTTTGACGTAAGTGCTCGACAATGTTTACACAGCGCGACCTCATGACGTCATACGCTGGAACTCATTAATTGCAGTTTCCCAAACGAAGCTGGATTGCAAGTGCATGAAATTCGTTGCAGTAAAAAAGTTGAGGCAGCTGCTGAGGCTGAGAAGGTGAGTATAATTTAGTGTCAAATGCAGTCACATTTATGTGTATCAGTTTGAGCTTCGCGGGGAAGCGAACGTATCTCTCCAGTCCGCTTCGAGGACTCCAGATACGGACACGCACAGCCGGCACCCGCTCAAAAGGAGGTTGCTTGCCGCCGTAGCCGCTGAACAGCATAGCCCTACCAAAATACCTCGGCCGGTAAGGACCCAGGAAATCACCAGCATAATCTATCCTTAGCTAATATTATTGTCGTATATAGGAATCACGAGATGTGGTGGTCATAGAAGAGCGAAAGGCATCGACTGCTGAGAAAAAAGATTCCATCATTGAACTTGACAATGAACATCCAGGTCTTGTGCGAAGGTTCGTCAGCTTCTACAATACTCAGGATTCTGACTATTTTGCTGTAGGGCAACGATCGCAGCTATGCCTGGCCTGCAACGTAGTCACTCTGTGGCAGCTCCGATCGCCGTATCTGCAGTCCCATCCGTCATGCAACCCGTTCCTCATGCTCCAGCTCCCGTTTGTGCACTGCAAAGTGCTGGTAGTTCGTCTGCATTTGCCTCCCCTAGTGGATCTGCATTCGTGCCTCAGCCAACGCCTGCCAGTCAGATCCCAAAGAAAGAAGTGAGCAACGATGGTTTTTCATTCAAGTATCTGCTTTATTGTTTATTTTTTAGGAAAACCCATTCAGCATCGAAGGGTATGTGCTGGATGGGAACACAGATAAGCCGTATACGCTGGTACTAACACAGGCATGCAAAGTACAGTCTACAACTGACGTGGCTACTGTCCGTAGGTGAGAATATAGCGGTGACGGTCCGTGAAATGTTGTGCCTTGCCAAACCAAAATGTTGCGAACGTAAAAGGGAACTTGCGTTCTCTCCACATCGATAGTTGCATGCATCGTGAATCTGCTGTACTTGCCATACCTGGAAATGTACTTTTGTGCTGATTGGCGCATATGCGCTCTGATGTAGTAGTGAATCATCTGTATAAACCACTTTTTTATTTAGGTCGCGAGGCAGGAATATCACCAGTGAGACTTTTGTTTGCATGCACCGTGCTCAGCCAATGTTTGTCGAACAGAAGGGGAATTTGTCAATGTACAGCAACTGGCATCAGGTCTGTTATTGACGTCATTTCGCGCGTGAATTTTCGTTCTTCGAAGAGCGTGGTTTACGTCCAATTATGGGTATCTACGAGGAATTTTCGTCCATTTAGGTAAACATCAATGAAGCTGAGTCTAAATTGAACCTGTTGTACATGGGAATGTGTTCTACAAGGCCGCGAACGGGTGTGAAACCATTCTGGCGGTACAGCGTTGCAAATCGTGACCATGGACAGTACAAAATGACTCATTCTTCCTTTTGGGAATATAGGAATAAGGTTGGTTACATACGTTGTTACCATATTAAGACTCATCGCATGCTAGGAAATGTGATTTGCCCAATTCACTGATGAGTACGATACCGTTTCAGTCACGATTATTTGCAGTACAGACAAAGATTATTCCCAAATCAGTTTCAGGTGAGACGTCAGGCTGAGCAACTACAATCTGTCAAAGACGATAATGAGGATGACTTGCAGCCCTTTCTTGATGGTCTCGGAAACGATGCGAAGCCGGCGGTGGATGAGGTGAGAACATTACGAGTGCACCCTAGCTATCCTGCGCATATATCTAAAACTTGTGATCATCACGCGTAGCCTGATTTTATGGCCATGAGTTTTTCTACACTGTTCAGCAACTGGATGATCGCTTTCGTGAACTTCAGGCCAATGACGTAGACTCATCCGTCGCCATCGGAACGGTCGAGTTCATTCCAGAGGAACCAATGAAGGAGGAGTCAGTTTGAGTTTCGCTTTTGTTTGCTCTGAAGTTTCACGCATGTGCTTCAGAGCCGAGACGCTACCACCATCTAAGTACAAACCCATGAGTGAGCCAGCAAAGTTAGTCAAATCCACAACAGCTAAGAAACAAGAACCGGTGATTGGCGGATATCGCACTGATGAGGTATAA